ACGACACACGCACACGACACACGCACACGACACGCACACGACACACGCACACGACACACGCACACGACACACGCACACGACACACGCACACACACACACACACACACGACACACACACACGACACACACACCGACACACACACACGACACACACACAACACACACACACACACACACACACACACACACACACGACACACACAACACACACACACACACACACACACACACACACACACACACACACACACACACACACACACACACACACACACACACACACACACACACACACACACACACACGGCACACGACCACACCACACACAGCAACACACACAATATGACACACAACGACACACACACACACACACACACACACACACACACACACACACACACACACACACACACACACACGACACACACACACACGACACACACACACCACGAACACACACACACACGACACACACACACACGACACACACACACCACACACACACACACGACACACACACACACACACACACGACACACACACACACGACACACACACACACGACACACACACACACGACACACACACACACACACACACACACACGACACACACACACGACACACACACACACACACACACACACACACACACACACACGACACACACACACACCACACACACACAACCACACACCACACACGACACACACCACAACAACGACACACACACACACGACACACACACACACACACGACCACACACACACACACACACACACACACACACACACACAACACACACACACACACACACACCACACACACACACACACACACACACACACACACACACACACGACACACACACACACACCACACACACCACACACACACACAACCGACACACACACACACACACACACACACACAATACACGAACACACACACACCACAACACACACGACACACACACGACACACACACCGACACACACACGACACACACACGAACACACACACACCGACACACACACGAACACACACACACACACACACACACACACACCACACACACACACAACAACACACACACACACACGACAACAGGCCAAGTGTCTAATTGACATGTGCCTAGGACAAAATGGTAACTAACACACACACACACGACACACACACACACACACACACACACACACACACACACACACACACACACACACACACACACACGACACACGACACACACACACACGACACACACACACGACACACACACACACGACACACACACACACGACACACACACACGACACACACACACACACACACACACACACGACACACACACACACGACACACACACACGACACACACACACGACACACACACCACACACACACACACACACACACACACACACACACACACACACACACACACACACACACACACACTGAGGTGTCCCTGTTTGCAGATGACGTGAAGTTGATGAGAAGAATTCATTCGATCGAAGACCAGGCAGAACTACAAAGGGATCTGGACAGGCTGCAGACCTGGTCCAGCAATTGGCTCCTGGAGTTCAATCCCACCAAGTGCAAAGTCATGAAGATTGGGGAAGGGCAAAGAAGACCGCAGGCGGAGTGCAGTCTAGGGGGCCAGAGACTACAAACCTCACTCAAGGAAAAAGATCTTGGGGTGAGTTTAACACCAGGCACATCTCCTGAAGCGCACATCAACCGAATAACTGCTGCAGCATATGGGCGCCTGGCAAACCTCAGAACAGCATTCCGACATCTTAATGAGGAGTCGTTCAGGACCCTGTACACCGTGTACGTTAGGCCCATATTGGAGTATGCGGCACCAGTTTGGAACCCACACCTAGCCAAGCATGTAAAGAAACTAGAGAAAGTGCAAAGGTTTGCCACAAGACTAGTCCCAGAGTTAAGAGGTATGTCCTACGAGGAGAGGTTAAGGGAAATCAACCTGACGACACTGGAGGACAGGAGAGATAGGGAGGACATGATAATGACTTACAAAATACTGAGAGGAATTGACAAGGTGGACAAAGACAGGATGTTCCAGAAGGATGTTCCAGAGACTGGACACAGCAACAAGGGGACACAGTTGGAAGCTGAAGACACAGATGAATCACATGGATGTTAGGAAGTATTTCTTCAGCCACAGAGTAGTCAGGAAGTGGAACAGTTTGGGAAGAGATGTTACCTGGAGGTTATTCCGGGAATCAACGCCCCCGCGGCCCGGTCCATGACCAGGCCTCCCGATGGATCAGGGCCTGATCAACTAGGCTGTTACTGCTGGCCGCACGCAGTCCAACGTACGAGCCACAGCCCGGCTGATCCGGCACTGTCTTTAGGTATCTGTCCAGCTCTCTCTTGAAGGCAGCCAGGGGCTTATTGGCAATTCCCCTAATGCTTGATGGGAGGCTGTTGAACAGTTTTTGGACCCCGGACACTTATGTTGTTTTCCCTTAGTGTACCAATGGCGCCCCTACTTTTTATTGGGGGCATTTTGCATCACCTGCCCAGTCTTTTACTTTCGTAGGGAGTGATTTCTGTGTGCAGATTTGGGACCATTCCTTCCAAGATTTTCCAAGTGTAGATTATGATATATCTCTCCCTCCTGCGTTCCAACGAGTACAAGTCAAGTGCTTCCAAGCGTTCCCAGTAGTTAAGGTGCTTGACAGAACTTATACGTGCAGTAAAGGATCTCTGTACACTCTCTAGATCTGCGATTTCACCTGCTTTGAATGGAGATGTTAATGTACAGCAGTGTTCCAGCCTAGAGAGAACAAGTGATTTGAAAAGGATCATCATTGGCTTGGCAACTCTCGTTTTGAAAGTTCTCATTATCCATCCTATCATTTTCCTTGCACGTGCGATCGTGGCACTGTTGTGATCCTTGAAAGTGAGATCCTCAGACATTACTACTCCCAGGTCCCTTACATTATTTTTCCGCTCTATTGTATGGCCGGAGTCAGTAGGATACTCTGTTCTAGTTATTATCTCCTCCAGTTTTCCATAACGGAGTAGTTGGAATTTGTCCTCATTGAACATCATATTGTTTACCGTTGCCCACTGGAAAACTTTGTTTATATCTTCTTGGAGGTTAACCGCGTCCTCAGTAGATGACAGCCTCATGCAGATCCTAGTATCATCGGCAAAGGATGATACGGTGCTGTGGTGTATATCTCTGTCTATGTCTGATATGAGGATAAGGAATAAGATGGGGCGAATACTGTGCCTTGTGGAACAGAGCTCTTCACTATGGCAGCCTCCGATTTAACTCTGTTGACCACTACTCTTTGTGTTCGATTTGTTAGGACGTTGAAGATCCATCTCCCCACTTTCCCAGTTATTCCTTTAGCACGCATTTTAGTGGAGGCAAGATCCATACATAGCTTTAAGCAGAGGTACGATAAAGCTCATGGTTCAGGGAGAGTGACCTATTGGCGACCAGTGAAGAGGCGGGGCCAGGAGCTTGGACTCGACCCCTGCAACCTCAACTAGGTGAGTACACACACACACGACACACACACACACACACACACACACACACACACACACACACACACACACACACACAAACGGCACACACACACACACACACACACACACACACACACACACACACACACACACACACACACACACACACACACACACACACACACACACACACACATGGTTATTATTACCGTACCGATCCTTTCTTAATATTACATGGCAGACATTCCAAGACACGCAACAAGAGAGTAAATATCTGTCGTACTGTTGGGTGTGTGAAGGTGTGCATGGGGTATGGAGGGTAGTGTAGGTAATGAATGGAGTGCTTGTACTGAATAAGGTATGTGGTAGATGGTTGGTTTGGGGTCTTGTGTAATATATTAAGTTAAGGAGGTATACGTTGAATTAGATCCCCTGAAACCTGACTAGTAACTATGGAGAAGGTTATTTCATTATGACACTTCCTTCAAAATATACTGCTTTTTTTAGGATTTTATCGGAAATCGTTTATTTGCTGTTTGCACAGGGAATATACACCGAGAGATGTATATCTGTGTATATGCACAGATGTATATTAGTGTTCATACATAGAGATGTATGTCCTACTGTATCACAGCTCCTCAGAAACCGGGAAAATAGTTAATCTTTATTTACTACAAGTACTTGTTTCGGGGATCAACACCCCCGCGGCTCAGTCTGAGCCTAGCTGACATCGGTGACATACTATTATACAGAAAGCCTCTAGTTATGCAGAGCATTTCGGGTACATTAGGTCAATTTTGTCCCCAGGATGCGACCCACACCAGTCGACTAACACCCAAGTACCTATTTTAATGCTAGGTGAACATGGACATCAGCTGTCTTAAGGAAAAACGTCCTGTTTCCACCCATACCGGGATCGAAACACGGGCTTAAGTGTGTGAAGCGAGAGCGTTGCCTACCAGGCCATGGCTGTTAAGGCCGTCTCATGCGCCAGGAGGAAAGTAGCAGAACATTTGCAAGAATATCATCTCAGGCTGAAGTTTATAGACTAGTTTAACCTGGTCTAAATTTTATCATTTCCCTTTTCCCCCCCTCAGCGGATGAGTCCTTAGAGACCCATGTAATCTGTGATTTTTTATTTGTCATGCGTCAGTTACTACTACTACTACTACTACAACTACTACAACTACTACAACTACTACAACTACTACAACTACTACTACTACTACTACTACTACTACTACTACTACTACTACTACTATACTACTACTACTACTACTACTACATCATTTTATTTCAGCATGATACAATGTACATAGTTGAGTGACATTTAGGTGTGCATGCAGAAAACTCATATTTATGCAGAGAATATCGGACCCTGTTCAAAGGATGAAAGTAATCTTGATGCTAAGTGTATAGCTGAATTAAAACCTTTAATGATCCTTATAAAGTCAAAAGGCTTTAAATTAAAAAAATTGCTTGTGGTTCTACAGCGGACGAAGATGAGAAGATAGAAGCGACGCCGGTAGTGGTCATGCCAGGCACCTCGTCCACCACCACACACCTGGTGGGGTTCCTGCGTCTCCAGCCAGAGGGTAGCGGTGGCTATGATACAGGCAGCTGGAGAAGCACTCATGATGGATCTCCAGGAACTACCAGCACTCAAGATGGAGCTACTGGGAGAACCAGTACTCGCTGGATGGAAGGCAGTGGTGCAGGCAGGATCAAGAGGGAATACAGCCTTGAGGATTTTCTCGTATGGATTCCCTCAGGTAAGGATGACGCCCGATTTTATCCATTATCTTTATTTACATGACTATTCAGATTTGTTCGCCAGGTAGAAATATATGTATGTAAAGGCTGGTGGACAGATAGTATTGAATAACAATGTGTTGCAGGTGACGGGCCGACAGAGGAATGGCAGCATCGTCCCCGGGACACGTCGTGGATGAAGGATGGCATCATTACCACTACTGTCTACACAACCGTCTACACTACTGTCTACACTACCGTCCTCCACCCCTCCCTCATCACACCCGCCCCCTCCTCTGTCACCTCCATCCATCTCTCCACCAAGTCTCCTGCGGACCTCACTGCAGCTGTCAACACCTCCAACACAGTTGCAGATAAAGGTGCAGGGAAGGAGCTTGGGGACGTCTCAGGCGCTGCCTCCATATCTGATGGACATGACAACTGTGGCAATCAGACAAACCCAGAACGACCTCAGAGTGACTACCCACAATCAGGAAGTAGCGGGAACCAGCTGCATAAGACATTGGAGAAGCACAAAAACACTCAGCAAGAGGCAGAGAAAACCAATTACATAACAGTAACGCGGACGATCAAAACATCACCTCCAACCTTGTATACGACCTTCCCGCCGTCACTCACTACTGACCATTTCACCCACTCTCTCTACGACGAGACCGACCTCGTCCGTCCCTCCATAGAGTATCCGGGGCCGTCGGTAACCTTTACTGTACCATCTGCTACACCTGTCCTCTCCTCAACATCTCCTCCAGGTACGGTGGTCAGCAGCAGACCAACAATAAAAGTCACGGCAATCAACACTGAGCCATCTTCCTCCAGTGAAGTTTTCGGCATGGTTGCGCCTACGGCGACCCTCAGCGGAGGCACTGGAATCTACCCACACAAAGAAGTAAAGTTCACTCCTGAACTGACAGACCCCCAAGTAACCACAGACATGTCTAACATGTTGAATGACATAGAACATTCAAGGCCAGGGACATCAGTGGCTCCGATGACAGGCAGCTCGGTTGAGGTTGAGGGATCTGGAAATGCGACTGAAAACATTACTCTCCATATTACCACTGAGAGAGAGACAAAAAGTCCTGGAGTGTCTGGGAATAAGGAAGACGCTGAAGCTTGCATTAATAGTGGAACTGAGGTTAAAACGCAAACCGTAGATGATTTTAGTGGTTTTGTTAATGAAACTGAAAGCAGCGCAAGAATCCCTGATATTGAAGGAATAACAGAAGCCACTGTCGGCGTTAATTTGCATGAAACAACAGACACTAACCTGTATGTTCCAGTGGAGGAAAGCACAAAAGTTGCAACAGAGGCGCCCTCGGGCCTGGATGAGTCTCGAGGCGCCAAGGCAGAGGTCCACACCCTCGACCCCACCGTTGATGTTGCTGCTACCACGCTAGTCCTCTTGCTGCCCCCAACACAACCAGATAATCAACCTTCCGATACTTTTCACCCTCTCTTTGAAAGAAACTCTACCATCATCCACGAAATAGAGTTGTTTGACTTGACAACACCTATGTCTAGCTACAATGACTCTGTGCTCTGTGACAGAGAGCAAGACAGTGAAGGAATCACAAATGGCACGTCTGACAGCGATTATCCCGGTTTTGTCCTCGACGAAAGTGACTTACTTTCTAATGCATCAGATGGAACAAACGTTCCAGATCACTATCCCAGTGGAGATATAGATGGAGGTACTGGCAGTAAAACAACTGCGAATGGGTCATCTGGTGTTGATTATACCGAGTCAGTTGAAGAAGGAATTGACTCATTTTATAATGAATCTGATAATAAGAACCAGACCATGGTATCAAACCAAGATATAGGAGATGGTGGGGATGAAATTTCAACCACGAATAATTATCCTTCAATTCCTACCATTCCAGATTATGGATCCAGTACCCCAGAAGGAATGACCACAATGAGTGCCCCAAGGTTCACAGTCACATTGGGAAGCGTCCCGGAGCTCTCAGTCACAGCTGAGAGTGTGGACTCATCACCCACAAGTCCTAAGGACAAGGGCTTCCATGTCCCTGACACGTTATATAACATTACAATCTCTGAAGATGCTTTTGGGGAAACTCCTGCCACTACCTCTCCAAATTTCATACATTTACTGAGTGATATTGGTAATACATCCAGCTCGGCAAACAGCTCAGAGGAAGAAATGTATAGCGTACCATTCTGGACTGGTGATTTTGACATTAACGCCACTTTCTCACCACCTGTGATAGGAGATGATAATGTGAATGGAACGGCAGATAACAACACTATTTTAATTATATTGCCTGATGAAGGACCCTACGTAGATAAGAGTGACTCGGAAGGCTCAGGTAACAAAGAAGGTTTAGGAGGAGGGCAAGAGGAAGCGGTAAAAGCTGGCAAAGAGGAAGTGGAAGTTTCACAGGTCTACCACCCATCAGACAGACCCACAACTTCATATCCTAGTGACAACAATGAGGGTACATCTCTGACATCACCTTCCAGAACAGTGACACCACTATCCTCATCTGGAGTGGAGACATCCACATTCTTAGTCATCAACAGTTTAATCCCAGGCATATTGGAACCTTCACTTTCTCAGCCAGATGATGCTCCTGCCACAATGAGTACTGCTGAAGGTGGACCAGGAACTCTTAATCCTCAGGTAACACCAGGTCAGGACTTACTCACTGATGGAAGTCTGATAGGTACCGAGAATGATACACAAGTGCTGACCCTGGTTTCGTCGGACATTGGAACAACAGAAACTGTAGTGGTGTCATCGGTGGCTTATTCATCCTCGCAGGAAACTCCTACCGAGGATCTTAATACCACTCCTTCAGCGTTCGTGACATTAGTGACAGAGAAACAACCAGACACACTTGTGTCGTCTGCAACATCAGGCGAAGCGTCCACACCAACACAACCGTCTTCCATAGAAATTGATTTTCCAGTTTTGACACACACTAGCACTCCTGTAACCTCGACCACAGCTACACTGGTCTCCGTCACTGTCTCTTCGACCTCTGGAGAACAGATAACATCTACCCCGAGCACAACAACTCTTCCTGTCCTCCACACTGTAGAGTCTGTCAGTGCAACCATTACCACTGAGAAAAGTCCTTCAACTTCACCCCCGGGGACCATTCCAAGGACCCCATGGATGACGGAACCAACTACAGGACCCCAACCCAGCCCACCAAGTCCCAGCAACAATGCGACAGTGCCACTGGATCAACGGTACTGGATTCGGACGGTGCTGGAGGGGGCACCCACTGAAGACAACTCTCACCTCTATTGGATGACTATTGAAGCCAAGCTCTCCGATGTGTACAGGATGGCCTACGGGCGGGAGGTAGCCAGACTGCTCTCCAGAGGCCAGGGTGAGAACCAAAACAAGTTATACAGCAAAGACATAAGTATGATAGCCCTGACCACTGAGTCACCAGGCACTTACACTACAGATTCATTTGAGAATTACACAACCATCATTGCCAGATTGAAGAGGGATGCACCTGACTCGCTGAATACCGCTTCTACACAGACGACTGTGAGACCTGAGGTACACAACGACATTTATGCCATAACCATACCCAAAAGATTCCAGACAGCCCCAGGACTCCAGCGGGTTAGAGTATTAGTCCCTATTCTCACTGCAAAGAAAAAAAATGAGAAGCCTGCAAGAAAAGAAAAGCAAAGAATATTGCATACACTGAAGCCCTTTTACGATGTTTTCACTGACCATGGAGGAAACCGCAAGCAAATCTGGCACCGAAAATACGAAAAACAACACTGGGCTTATCCGCATCGTCCAGCCTCGCCTTATATTTCAGCCAGAGTGCGCACAAGACGTACTGTCATTGAAAACGTGAAGGTGCGTCTCCACAATGTTACTTATGACAACACAACCAACCTGACGGAGCTGGTGTACACTGTGTTTGACAGTGAGGAACCCATACTGGCCAGAGATGCTGTTAACAGAATGTCCAAGGTTGATGACATGGAAATGGCTGTAATACTGGACCAAGTGGTCAAGATCAAAGCTGAAGGTGAGTTGTAACCTCATGTTTGTTCTCCAATAATCTTTGCTTTAATTAGGATTCTCAAGTTGTTACTTTAACCATTACTTGCACTATCTCACTTAGTATATCTGTGTCTGACTCCTTCAGTCATTCATTTTACCTCATTGTTTCAGAATACCTGCAGAGCCCATCAGCCACGCCTGATGGGGTGCTGGTGTACGGGATCATTGGAACGGTGGTGGGAGTAGTGATGCTGCTGGTATTCCTCTCCTGGCTTATTATTTTCCTCTACAAGAGAAGCAACAAGAGAGAAGAGCTCCACCCTGACTCCGAGGTCAGTGACTCAGTCGTTCACTCGTTCCTCCTGCTGGGGATTTTAACTTTTTCATTTCTCATTTGCTATGATTGCTTTAGTCATGTTATATATATTACATGTACACATTCTTGAACTGCAGGAAGGTATTTGACAAAAGTCTAGAGCACGATTACAAGAACACAAGCAGGAATAACAGGAACAGCACTTTGCTGGATCAAGAAATACGTAAATTCAAGGAGTCTGTGTTATCAAGGTGTTAGGATGGATCTGGAGGACATGTGGTGTTCCAGTGATCTGTCCTGGGACTGGTAACTTTTTCGACATCTTAAATATTTCAAGATGATGAAAACTCCTGACTTAGACCTATCCCCTAGAATAAAATCCTGGCTTTATCCTACGAGGGCTTTTCAACAAAGTGCCCTCACCTAATTAAATAGGTCCAGAATTTGCAGAGTGGCTTCAATCACAAAGAAATCGTTTGAAAGAACTGTGACTAACTTTTAAACACTGTAGATGAAGAGTTGGTGTACCTGGAGTTTACCTGGAGAGAGTTCCGGGGGTCAACACCCCCGCGGCCCAGTCTGTGACCAGGTCTCATGGTGGATCAGAGCATGATCAACCAGGCTGTTACTGCACATTACTGCCAGGCTGTTACTGTACATTATTACTTCAACAACAGCAACTGCTAACAACAGCAATAGCCAACAACAGCAATAGCCAACAACAGCAATAGCCAACAACAGCTATAGCCAACAACAGCTATAGCCAACAACAGCTATAGCCAACAACAGCTATAGCCAACAACAGCTATAGCCAACAACAACCACCACCATTACCACACCTAGCAACACTAATAGCAACTAACAACAACCACCATCAATATATTATTATTACAACTTGAGTAGTATAGGTGTTGCTTTAATAGTCATCAAGAATAAGACAGTGCTTCACCCGGTTATTCATAATGTCTTCTACAGTAGATCTAAACTACAGCTTTATGCATATCTACAATAGGTGTATACTACAGTTGTTTATTCTTGATTGCTAGCGCACTCAGCTCATACATTGAGCCAGTGGAAACATTAGGATGCATTTCCTTAAGACACCTGCTGTCCATGCGTACCTAGCAGTAAAATTGGTACTTGGGTGTTAGTTGACTGGTGTGGGTTGCATCCTGGGAAGAAAATTGACTTAATTTGCCTGAAATTCTCAGCATAACAAGGGGCTTTCTATATAATAGTATGTCATTGATGTCACCTAGGCCTGTATACATTGTACATGTACTTGTAGAAATAGATAATTATTACTCATGTCTACAGTAGGCCAACATTAAACTGCAGTAGACTTATACTACAGTGGCTGATGCTGTATTACCCATACAAGTTTAGTACTTATAGCTTTATATTAATGTAATAATAAAATTAACTCACTTTTCTAGCAGGCGCCATCACCAAGAAGCCAACTGAGTGCCAATGCCTACTCGGGTCATGTCAATTTGGCCTTCTCTTCTAGTCCCGGAGATGAGAAGGTCAGTTCAGGTCACTCCTTCTCAACATCCATGAATGATAAGGTCAGTTTAAGTCACTTTTTAAATACTGACACAGGATTATTCATAGATTATGTCTTATAACATAGATAGTAAAAGATTTTTCCCTCCTGTACTCGCCTATTTGTGGTTGCAGGGGTTGATTATTGTCATAATCATGGGGGAGCCTGTGGAGGGGGATGCAAGCATTCAGGCTCAGTTCAGGGAACTGGAGCACAAATCCAATTCCTTAAATCAAGAGCCCCTCACCAGCATCAAGGAACTGCCCTTGAGGGGCTGCAGAGGTTGAATTATAGCTCTAGGCCTTTCATGTTGCAATCAACACATCAAGGGAACAACTCTAGTCTTTCGCTTGACTGGATCTACTTGGACTTCCTACTCATTTCTGTAACATTACAAGCTCCTGATATGTTGATTGCAGCACAAAAGGCCCAGACCTATCATTCATATCTCCCTGTGGTTGTTTTGTTAGTTGATCTTACTATCTGTCTTTTCTTTTTTTTTTCCCTCTCCCATCCTTCTACATCCCCTCCCTCCTTCCCCCATCTGTGTACCTCTATTTGTTATCCATCTATCCATGTCTATTTTATAATAACTCTACCTGGAGAGAGTTATGGGGGTCAACGCCCCTGTGGCCTGGTCTATGACCAGGCCTCATGGTGGATCAGGGCCTGATCAACCAGGCTGTTACTGCTGGCTGCACGCAATCCAACATACGAACCACAGCCCGGCTGGTCAGGTACTGACTTTAGGTGCTTGTCCAGGGCCTGCTTGAAGACAGCCAGGGGTCTGTTGGTAATCCCCCTTATGTATGCTGTGAGGCAGTTGAACAGTCTTGGGCCCCTAACACTTATTGTGTTGTCTCTTAACGTGCTAGTGAAATGTGCAGTAAAATATTTAAGTAATACAGTATTAAAGTTTTTCTTTCAAATAATGATTTTAGTGTTAAAAATAGCACCCTTAATGGATAGTTATATACTGAGAGGAATGTTCAGAGCACATCTTATCTCTTATCATAATGCTGTAATATTCTTTTTCATGTGTGTGTTGCTGGGATGTAACCTTGACCTCTTGTGACCTGACCCAGCAGATGGAGGCAGAGCCACTGCCCTCTACCTCCCATGATTTAGATCTTGACCTGGGACCTGCCTCTCTCACAGGGTCACACGACAGTCTTATCAGCAAAACCAAACAAGGTCACGTGTCACCAGTATTTATTTTATTTATTTATTTATTTAATAATTTTTATTTATTTAATAATTTTTATTTATTTAATAATTTATTTATTTAATTAATTATTACGTTCATGAGGAAGCGCTAAACTCATCAGAGGTATCTAGTACCTGGGGAATGGAGGGAAGGCAGTAAGTTAGGTACAGGTCAACATAAGTACAATTATCATACATGGTAACATGCAAAACAACCACGAGGGGAGTTGCAAGATAGCTCTAGGCCTTTCGTGTTGCAATCAACACATCAGGAGCTTGCAGTGTTGCAGGAAAGAAGATGAAATTTGAGAAAACACAATCAGAGTGAGCGTTTTTGCTAGCAAAAATGCTCACTCTGAACGTGTTTGTGTACTTGGATTTCATCCTCTTTTCTGCAACACTACAAGCTCCTGATGTGTTGATTGCAACATAAAAAGCCTAGAGCTATCTTTCAACTCCCCTTGTGGTTGTTTTGCATGTTACCATGTATGATAATTGTACTTGTATCTTGCATCGCTTGTTCACAATTTTATGCACATAGTAACGTGTAAATTACCTAGGACTACCCGAGATTAACAGAACACTGTTGTCTGCATACAACAAAAGCTTACACTTGACACTGATGGACATGTCATTCACATAGCACAGAAACAGTAATGGGCCCAAAATACTACTTTAGGAACCCCACATGCTATTGAGAGGGAATTCTGATTCTGTATTATTGATCTTGACAATTTGTTTCCAGTTGCTCTTGTAGGACTTAAACTAGTCTATAGGGCCTATGCTGATAGCTTTTAGTTTCTTACATAATGTGTTATGGTTAACTGTATCGAATGCCTTTTGCAAGTCTAAGGTCACCATACCTCTGAGATTCCCTAATGACAGTAGTTCTCGGACCGTCTCTCAGATTTATTAGGGAGGTGTCGGTCGAGTAAAATCTCCTGAAACCTGATTGTTAACTTCACTGGCATCAGGGCACTCCTATGAAGGGTCAGATTTCCAAAAGTGTCTCCCAAGTTTGGAAATCTCTTCAGACAGGAGGCCTGGTCTCAGACCGGGCCGCGGGGGCGTTGACCCCCGGAACTCTCTCCAGGTAAACTCCAGGTATACAAACACCTAGTTATTGTTGTCTAGAAGAATTGCTCACATCTGGAGGACTAACATCATCATGGGGAAGGACTAAACCTGTAGGAGTTTTACTCTGCCTGGAGAGTGAGGGGCAGTTAGGTTTGATTTCAAGTGAAGAGTAGCTCTAGTGCCTTATATCAAAAAACCTTCACCAGCATCAAGGCACCCCCTTGAAGGGTTACATCTGGGGAAGTTGTATATAAATAGTTGTATGTATGCTAATAGTTGTATGAATCTTCTTTCTTTCAACACACCGGCCGTATCCCACTGAGGCGGGGTGTCCCAAAAAGGAAAAACGATAGTAATATATACAGGAGAAAGGGTTACTAGCCCCTTGCTCCCGGCATTTTAGTCGGCTCTTACGACACGCATGGCTTACGGAAGAAGAATTCTGTTCCACTTCCCCATGGAGATGAGAGGAAATAAACAAGAACTAGAAAGAAAATAGAAGATAACCCAGAGGGGTATGTATGTATATATATGCTTGTACATGTATGTGTAGTGTGACCTAGGTGTAAGTAGAAGTAGCAAGACGTACCTGAAACCTTGCATGTTTGAGACAGAAAAATGTACACCAGCAATCCTACCATCATGTAAAACAATTACAGGCTTTTGTTTTACACTCACTTGGCAGGATGGTAGTACCTCCCTGGGTGGTTGCTGTCTACCAACCTACTACCTAGTAGTTGTATGAATGTGCTGTATTAATAGCTGTTGTATTGTTGCATTGTAGTACATATATTATTAGCTGTTTTATAGTAATATGTATTTATAGTGTGTTTTACTCTGGTGTTTGCATGAAGTGTAAGGTATTCATGTAGGATCTCCTCATAACCACACATCATTACGGCATGCTAGACATTTGCAACTCTTTGGTAACAAGAAGATTATGGTGGATGAATTTGGTAGGGTGTGCAAAAGAAGAAAATTAAAGGTGAATACAGGAAAGAGTAAGGTTATGAGGATAACAAAAAGATTAGGTGATGAAAGATTGAATATCAGATTGGAGGGAGAGAGTATGGAGGAGGTGAACGTATTCAGATATTTGGGAGTGGACGTGTCAGCGGATGGGTCTATGAAAGATGAGGTGAATCATAGAATTGATGAGGGAAAAAGAGTGAGTGGTGCACTTAGGAGTCTGTGGAGACAAAGAACTTTGTCCTTGGAGGCAAAGAGGGGAATGTATGAGAGTATAGTTTTACCAACGCTCTTATATGGGTGTGAAGCGTGGGTGATGAATGTTGCAGCGAGGAGAAGGCTGGAGGCAGTGGAGATGTCATGTCTGAGGGCAATGTGTGGTGTGAATATAATGCAGAGAATTCGTAGTTTGGAAGTTAGGAGGAGGTGCGGGATTACCAAAACTGTTGTCCAGAGGGCTGAGGAAGGGTTGTTGAGGTGGTTCGGACATGTAGAGAGAATGGAGCGAAACAGAATGACTTCAAGAGTGTATCAGTCTGTAGTGGAAGGAAGGCGGGGTAGGGGTCGGCCTAGGAAGGGTTGGAGGGAGGGGGTAAAGGAGGTTTTGTGTGCGAGGGGCTTGGACTTCCAGCAGGCATGCGTGAGCGTGTTTGATAGGAGTGAATGGAGACAAATGGTTTTTAATACTTGACGTGCTGTTGGAGTGTGAGCAAAGTAACATTTATGAAGGGATTCAGGGAAACCGGCAGGCCGGACTTGAGTTCTGGAGATGGGAAGTACAGTGCCTGCACTCTGAAGGAGGGGTGTTAATGTTGCAGTTTTAAAAACTGTAGTGTAAAGCACCCTTCTGGCAAGACAGTGATGGAGTGAATGATGGTGAAAGTTTTTCTTTTTCGGGCCACCCTGCCTTGGTGGGAATCGGCCGGTGTGATAATAAAAAAAAAAAAAAATAAAAAAGATTATCTTACAGGTCCCTCGCTAGGGCCCTCTAAAGCCCGCTCCCGTCGACGTCTCCAGCATAACCAGGAGAAGGTGGGAGTCCAGGAGAAAGACAGCAAAGAGGACGGTGGCCATTCTCGAGTCCCCACACCCATGGAAGATTATGACACCACCGAAGATGAAGATGAGGTGAGGAATGCTTGGTTAACATTATACCCAGGGGCAGCACCAAAGAGGCAAGAGGGGCTGAAACCTCTTCAAATATTTCATTAACCCCCTCCAAAAATAATAATCCTGGTTTTGGAGACATGTACCCATTCATGTTGTTATTTATACTGACTCAACCAGTGTGATGAATCCTGTTGTTCAGTGACACTAAGCAATGATGGCTGTAAGTTTCATTTTGTTTTTTGGTACTAAATATAAAGTTAGTCCCTCCTCTCCTAGAACAGAAATAAAGCAACACTGACAAACAAGTTCTGAATACAGTAACATAAATTTTATGTACATGGACCTTAAATTAATCACACTTTGTAGATATAGAATAATGTATTAGATACTTGCATAGCATTTATAAAGCACAGTATAGAGTTGATTGGTAACAGAGCAGTGTGACTCTTCATCATATCTGGACTGCCCCCTCAGATGACAGATGGCCCCAAGCGGCGACCAAAGAGCAGCATACCATGGCGACGTGCTGGCAGACATGTGGGACAGGCTATAACTGAAGAACCTGTCTACAGCTCTCCTAACCCAGTCAGCATTCAGTACAACCCTTCACACTCCACTTACTCAAAGTATGACACCACACACTCTGAGCTCACCTCAAGTGATGTACATTATGACCCCACCCATCAGCTGATGGCTAACACATTGCACAGTGCTAACATGTTCACCCATAAGGACCAGGGCTCTGTCTTTCTACCACCACCACTCCTGCCACCACCCAAGGGCTTTGGCAAGGTTCATGACTCTCCCTTCATTCCTGGGACATCCCTGCCTCGCTTCCTTCCCCCGCCACGTCTCCACAAACTGGTGCCGAATATACCAGGACAGGGAATGCCCTCTCAGATCGAAGCATATAACTATGACCCTGAGGCACCACCCATCCCTCCCAGGAATTACACGCGAGAGGAGGCTGGCCTTCCCCTGGTAAAGCATGGTGTGATGTCCCCTCCTAGGCCTCACATGAAGGATGCTCAGGTGGAGGCACACGTGGAGAGTGAGACTCCTGGGCCCACCACCTCAGCGGAGGTCAGTGGATTTTTCCAATAATTTACAGGAATATAGACACTAGAGAATAATAAAATCATATCAAATACATGTCAATGCTCACAGGCTGACATTGCTTCAGTTCTTCATTTTTATGCCTATTTCAGGAAAACAAATTCCTGTGTATGTAAAACTAAAAAAAAAATATATATATATACAGTGGTCCCTCGTTTTTCGTAATTAATCCGTTCCTGGAGCTGTTACTATAAACAAAATTTACGATTTGCGAATCAATTTTCCCCATAAGAAATAATGTAAATACAATTAATCCGTTCCTAACACCCAGAAGTATTAAAACCAAAAAAATTTTTACATGAAATATACATGTAGTACATAAACAATACAATGGGAAATGAATGAAACATTAACAGCATAACACTTACCTTTATTGGAGATTCTTCTTAGTGTATGGGAGACTGGAGGAGGAGAGAGAGTGGATTGTTTATAGTTTGGAAGGGGAATCCCCTTCCAGCAACACCTCAGGTACCAATTGCTTTTCTGGGGTTGCTTGTCTTCTCTGTTTCTTAATGCCACTAGGACCACCTTGAGAGTCGCTGGAGTCCTGTCTCGCAAAATAACTGTGGAGAGAGCTCTGTTTCTGGCGTCTCTTTAACACTTCCCTAAAATGGCCCAAGACTTTGTCACTGTACATGTTGCCAATATGGCTTGCAACAACCTTGTTAGGGTGATGTTTCTCCATAAAGCTTTCCATCTTACCCCACATAGTAAAAATCTCTTTAATTTCTGAAAAAGGCACCTTCTTCCATCTCTCTTCCTCCTCCTCTGCAGCAAGATTCTGAGCTGCGATGTGTTGCTCTTCCTGCTGAAGCTCTTGCAGCTCCTCAGTGGTGAGCTCTTCATTGTGGTCTTCCACCAATTCTTCCACATCCTCCAAACTCACATCCAACCCCATGGAACTCCCCAGTGCCACAATTGATTTTACAACAGACATAGGCTCATCAGGGTCAGTCCCAAACCCTTCAAAATCCCTCTTGTCAACACAATCTGGCCACAATTTTCTCCAGGCAGAGTTCAAAGTCCTGGTAGTCACTCCCTCCCAAGCCATACCTATAAGGGTTATGCAATGGAGGATGCTGAAGTGTTCTCTCCAAAATTCCCTTAGGGTCAAGTGAGTGTCTGTGGTCACAGTCAAGCACCTGTGAAACATTGCTTTTGTGTAGAGTTTTTTAAAGTTTGCAATGACCTGCTGGTCCATGGGCTGGAGGAGAGGAGTGGTATTTGGGGGCAAGAACTTTACTGTGATGAACCCAAACTCCTCGAAAATTAGGTCATCTAAGTTTGGAGGATGAGCAGGTGCATTGTCCATTACTAGCAGGCACTTGAGATCCAATTTCTTTTCCAGGAGATACCCCTTCACACTAGGGCCAAACACTTCATTGAACCACTCGACGAAAATTTCCCTCGTGACCCATGCCTTACTATTAGATTTCCAAAACACACACAATTTACTCTTCATAACATTGTTTTTCCTGAACACTGGGATTTTCAGAATGGTACACTAGTAATGGCTTCACCTTGAAATCCCCACTAGCATTAGCACAGAACATTAGTGTCAGCCTGGCTTTCATAGGCTTGTGTCCTGGCATTGCCTTTTCCTCTTGTGTAATGAAGGTCCTCTTTGGCATTTTCTTCCAAAAGTGGCCTGTTTTGTCACAATTGAACACTTGTTCAGGTTTCAGTCCTTCAGCCTCTATGTACTCCTGGAATTCATGCACATATTTTTCAGCTGCCTTGTGGTCTGAACTGGTAGCCTCACCATGCCTTACCACACTGTGTATGCCAGTACGGTTCTTAAATCTCTCAAACCAGCCTTTGCTGGCCTTAAATTCACTCGCATCACCACTATTTGCAGGCAATTTCTTTACCAAATCTTCATGTAACTGCCTAGCCTTTTCACAAATAATCGAAGTCATAAGAGTATCTTCTGCTAATTGCTTCTCATTTATCCACACCAATAATAACTTCTCAACCTCTTCGAGTACTGGTGATCTCATTTTTGTCAGCATAGTTACCCCCTTTGCAACAACAGCATCCTTGATTTCCTTTTTCTTGGCCACTATGGAACATAAGGTTGTGTAGGGTTTCTTATACATCCTGGCCAGTTCAGCCACACTTGTACCACTTTCATATTGTTCAATGATGGTTTTCTTAAATTCAATCGTATTTCTCACCTTCTTTACCACAGGTTTGGCACTAGGAGCTTTCTTTGGAGCCATGGTAGATTATTTAGTATACTTGCAAGCACTAAAATAAATGGAATATTATGAAATATTTCGCTGAAGCACATGAGGGGACCTTCGCTCACTGGTAAACAATGCCAGACTGGCTGCCGCCACGGCTCACGCCATGGGTACGCGTCCGGGACGAATTACGACTCGCGAGTCAGCTTATGATAAGCGAGTCCATGTTTATAAAAAAATAACCCTATGATTGGCGAAATTTACGATTGCCGGGAACTACGAAAAGTGAGGGACCACTATATATATATATATATATATATATATATATATATATATATATATATATATATATATATATATATATATATATATTATATATATATATATATATTATATATATATATATATATATATATATATATATATATATATATATATATATATATATAAATATATATATATATATTATTTATTATATATATATATATATATAAATAAATATATATATATTATATATTATATATATATATATATATATATATATATATATATATATATATAATAATATTATATATAATATATATATATATAATAATTAATGAATGAAATATCATATTTATATAGTATATATATATATTATTCATGAATATAACCCTGAAATTTATAGCATGTGAATTGAAGATTACATGATTTTACTGAGTTATAATGTTATTTAAAGTAAGAACACATGAAGCTTCATGAATCTCATGCACATTCCACATCATGGAAGTAGTCCCTACGGGTGCTTCAAATAAATCTTCACGATGACCAACCCCTGACCTTCCCATGCGGGGAGGCAGCGTACCTGGGCATCGGGCTCACGCTCTCACCACTCCAACTCAAGCAAGGCAAATGGTCGTCTCCGCTCGCTTCATGCGCCATATGCTTCGTCCTGTAAGCAGCGTGATAGGTCACCTCTGCTCCACCCCATCCGTAAGGAAAGTCCTGGCACCATGCTCGTACACTGTGGTTTTCTTTTTACTAACTCCCCTCTGACCTGACCTTTTTGTGCAACACCTTCCTTGTTTAACCCTGACTTACATTTGCTGCCTTCTCCTTTGTTCACCATAACCCAGCTTTTACTTGCATTCTCCTTTCTCTCGAGCCTAGCATTAATAAATTTGTTATGTTAAAGAAAACGTATTGTTACAGACCAACTTTCATTTAGCTGTTTTGAATTGTTTTTATATATCCAGAAACACTGAATAGGAGCTTGTCTTCAGAATTAAACATTTAAAAGTAATTACTATATCTGTTGTAGCATTAATACCATAGAAGAATGAGTGCCAACCAGCATTTAATCTGTGAAAAAGAATAGTAGCTCTAATTCCTTAGATCAAGAGTTTGTCACTTCTCCCACCCCATCTTGAAGCAGGGATGCAAGGGACATGGTACATGGCATGTACCTACTTGTTTTTCCAGGTTCTTTTAAGTTCAATTTCTGTATTAATAGATATATATATATTTTTTTTTTTTTTTTTTTTTTTTTTTTTTTTTTTTTTTTTTTTTTTTAAACAAGTCCGCCATCTCCCACCGAGGCAGGGTGACCCAAAAAGAAAGAAAATCCCCAAAATGAAAATACTTTCATCATCATTCAGCTCTTTCACCTCACTCACACATAATCACACTTTTTGCAGAGGTGCTCAGAACACAACAGCTTAGAAGCATATACGTATAAAGATACACAACATATCCCTCTAAACTGCCAATATCCTGAACCCCTCCTTTAGAGTGCAGGCATTGTACTTCCCATTTCCAGGACTCAAGTCCGGCTATATAAAAATAACTGGTTTCCCTGAATCCCTTCACTAAATATTACCCTGCTCACACTCCAACAGATCGTCAGGTCCCAAATACCATTCGTCTCCATTCACTTCTATCTAAGTAAGTAAGTTTATTCAGGTATACACAAATACAGTTACATAGAATTATCATACATAGCAGCATATGTGTAGAGAACCTGGGATAACCCAGAGTGACTTACTCAGCTGTGATTTTGTTTCCTTTATAGTAAAAGGTGATAACTTTGGAATTTATGTTGACATTATGATGATTATTATTGAAAGAATTAAGAATAAGACAGAGAATAGGATAGCAGATGAACAAGGAGGCTTTAGGAAAGGTAGGGGATGTGTGGACCAGGTGTTTACAGTGAAACATATAAGTGAACAGTATTTAGATAAGGCTAAAGAGGTCTTTGTGGCATTTATGGATTTGGAAAAGGCGTATGACAGGGTGGATAGGGGGGCACTGTGGCAGATGTTGCAGGTGTATGGTGTAGGAGGTAGGTTACTGAAAGCAGTGAAGAGTTTTTACGAGGATAGTGAGGCTCAAGTTAGAGTATGTAGGAAAGAGGGAAATTATTTCCCAGTAAAAGTAGGCCTTAGACAAGGATGTGTGATGTCACCGTGGTTGTTTAATATATTTATAGATGGGGTTGTAAGAGAAGTAAATGCGAGGGTCTTGGCAAGAGGCGTGAGTTAAAAGATAAAGAATCACACATAAAGTGGAGTTGTCACAGTTGCTCTTTGCTGATGGCACTGTGCTCTTGGGAGATTCTGAAGAGAAGCTGCAGAGGTTGGTGGATGAATTTGGTAGGGTGTGCAAAAGAAGAAAATTAAAAGTGAATACAGGAAAGAGTAAGGAATGAGGATAACAAAAAGATTAGGTGATGAAAGATTGGATATCAGATTGAAGGGAGAGAGTATGGAGGAGGTGAATGTATTCAGATATTTGGGAGTGGACGTGTCAGCAGATGGGTCATTGAAAGATGAGGTGAATCATAGAATTGATGAGGGGAAAAGGGTGAGTGGTGCACTTAGGAGTCTGTGGAGACAAAGAACTTTGTCCTTGGAGGCAAAGAGGGAATGTATGAGAGTATAGTTTTACCAACGCTCTTATATGGGTGTGAAGCATGGGTGATGAATGTTGCAGCGAGAAGGCTGGAGGCAGTGGAGATGTCATGTCTGAGGGCAATGTGTGGTGTAAATATAATGCAGAGAATTCGTAGTTTGGAAGTTAGGAGGAGGTGCGGGATTACCAAAACTGTTGTCCAGAGGGCTGAGGAAGGGCTGTTGAGGTGGTTCGGACATGCAGAGAGAATGGAGCGAAACAGAGTGACTTCAAGAGTGTATCAGTCTGTAGTGGAAGGAAGGCAGGGTAGGGGTCAGCCTAGGAAAGGTTGGAGGGAGGGGGGTTAGTTAGTTTAATATGTTTATTATGCACCCCATACCCATCCTGTGGGTGGTAGTCAAAAGATTACAGAGGTACATAATTGGTCCAGGGACTGGACTCCAAAGTTTTGATAGCTGAGCAAGTTACAGAGGTAATGAACTCACAATTTACAAAGGTAATGAACTCCAGGTAGGTCTGGTCACAATCATGACAAGTTACAAAGGTATTTACAGATCACAGAGGTATGTAATGGGTCCAGGGACTGGGCCCCCAAAGTTTTGATAGCTGAACTAGGTACAAGAGGGGGTAAAGGAGGTTTTGTGTGCGAGGGGCTTGGACTTCCAGCAGGCATGCGTGAGCGTGTTTGATAGGAGTGAATGGAGACAAATGGTTTTTAATACTTGACGTGCTGTTGGAGTGTGAGCAAAGTAACATTTATGAAGGGGTTCAGGGAAACCGGCAGGCCGGACTTGAGTCCTGGAGATGGGAAGTACAGTGCCTGCACTCTGAAGGAGGGGTGTTAATGTTGCAGTTTAAAAACTGTAGTGTAAAGCACCCTTCTGGCAAGACAGTGATGGAGTGAATGATGGTGAAAGTTTTTATTTTTTGGGCCACCCTGCCTTGGTGGGAATAGGCCAGTGTGATAATAATAAAAAAAAAATATTATGATGATGGAAATTGGTGACAGCATACAGGTACATGGTCATGTACCTACTCTTTAAAACCCATTTCCATCATTGCTTTTAAGGAAGTCTTAATAACTTCCCATAATTTTGTCTTGAATTTTAATTACTGTACTTTGCATGTGCTTTACAATTTTTCATTATCATTGTTCTTTTATTTGCATCACATATATCTTGTCTGCTCTGCTTCTTTTCATCTGTCTCATTTCATTTTATTTTCTTTAAAATTGTGAAATTTATTTGCTTTTCACTGTTTTTGCATACACACTTGTATCCTTAGTAAGAGGGGTTTTATTTCTGCACGTTGTTCCTTGATGCTGGTGAAGAGTTCATAATCCAAATTGAGCTGCCCTCCTCTTCCTTGAATTAAACATATCTTCTAATTTTTCTACCTGTTCAGTGCTTCCCACTTTTGATTCTTTTTTTTTAACAAACCGGCTGTATCCCACCAAGGCAGGGTGGCCCAAAAAGAACAAAAGTTTCTCTTTTTAAATTTAGTAATTTATACAGGAGAAGGGGTTACTAGCCCCTTGCTCCCTTTTGATTATAATAATAATAATATAAGTGCTAAACCACCAGGTCATTCCCACTTATAATAATAATCCTTGATTGCTAGCGCACTCGGCTCACTGAGGTCCTTGGGGTCGATCCCCGGTATGGCTGGAAAACATAAGAACGTGTTTCCATAAGGCACCTGCTGTCCATGTTCACCTATCAATAAAATCGATACCTGGGAGTTAGTCCACTGGTGTGCATCGTATCCTGGGGCAAAATTGGCCTGATTTGCCTGAAATGCTCTGCAGCAGGTGGCTTTCTATGTAGTATTATGTTACTGATGTCAGCTGGGCCAGTATACCTTGTACATGTACACTTGTAGAAATAGATATTAATAATATTAGTCACATACATCACCCTTATCTGTGACTTTTGCGGTGTATTTCCATCCAGGCTTTGGGTTACTGTACATATTTTACTCATTTTTACTAATTTTTTTCTCTGCATTTCTTCCTTCTTTTTCTTTATCTTATTTGTCTTCTTGTCATTTCTTTCAACTTGTATATCATTATTATTATAATCAAAAAGAAGCGCTAAGCCACAAGGGCTATTCAACTTGTATAATTTATGCTTTTGTTATTACACAGAGGAGTGGAAGTCTCTGAGGGTGAGGGAGGTCGTCCAAGGTCTGCCACAGCTGTCCACACCTCGCCCCCAGCTTGGAGGGACTCCCAGGTATAGTTCATTATTTATTCACTTATGTAAAGCACTAAATCCATATGGGTCATCTGCAAGGAGGGGTAGAGGCTTCATCCTCTCTTCACTTCTACAAGTGGCTCCAGCTAATTGGCGGGGCCCCTCAAGGAAGGTTCCTTGATGTTGGTGAGGGGCTCTTGATTTAGGAAATTGGATCTGTGCTCCAGTTCCCCGAATTAAGCCTGAATACCTTCCACACCCCCCCTTCCCCAGGCGCTGTATAATCCTCCGGGTTTAGCGCTTCCCCTTGATTATAATAATAATAATAATTGGCGGGGGTGTCCACTCACTGACCATTGGTTGGGAGACAATAATGTAAACACTGAGCTTGGCAACGATCATACCTGTTTTACTGCTGAAGATATTCTCAAATTTCCCCACTTCACAATGTTGGTAAGTACTTGCTTTTGTTTCTAGAGCCAAAATGAAGGTGCAAGACATGTTTAGATAAATAAATGCCTGTGTGATGCATTAGTAACTTCACAATGCAAGTGAGATTATGGCAAATGAAAAAGAAATAAGAATTTCATGGTGTGCCCAATAACCATAAACTTTTCCCATGCAAAAAGTAATATATATATTTTTTATGCTGCAGATATGCATTCAGTACAGCCTCTCATTTAATGATGGGGTTCTGTTCCTAAGAGTAGGTCAGTAAGCAAATTGGTTAAGCAAGGAGTATATTATACTGGTAGTGGGTTTGTGTCAACCATCTTCAGATATTTTTAATGTCACCTTTGCACCATTTATAACACTTTTAGTATATTTTTAAATGTTTATACAGTAGTATACTGTAATAAACAATAGAGGAAATCAGCTCTAATATACATAGGTTTGCATACTGGTTGGAGAGCTGGTCTTAAGTCCGAGTGGTCGGTAAGCGAGGAGAGGCTGTAGTTATTTGGGCGTGCTCAGGTGTTTTTTTTTTTTTTTTTTGTCCGTACAGATCCCTCCCAAGTTGTTTTATGGTGCTGCCTTCCCAAAGATACTGAAATATGTTTGTTTCTGATAGTGAGTCTGAACCAGAGCCTGATGACCAAGAATTGATCGACAGTGGTGACTAATACTTGCCAGAAGATGCACAAGTTTGAAGGAAAGATGAGGAAGAAGCTAGATTAGCCAGAAAGACAAGAAAAAGAAAGGTATTATAATAGAGGAGCTGTATAGCCCTTGTGGCTTAGTGCTTCTTTTTGATTATAATAATATAATAGAGGAATATCCTGACAAAGACCACCTTGATGATGAACTTGCTCTCAAAGTTCAGACAGCCTGAGATTACATCGAAAATGACCCTTTGCCTGCATACCAACATGAACATGGTGATGAAATTCTCCATTTGATTATTTTATCAAGTTTACCTATAATCTTAGTAACAGTTTTTCAAAGTGATGATGTGATTATTACAAGTACCTACTCCAGTGCAGTACCACCATGCATAAGGCCTGATCACAGTATGAAGTATGATGCAATGCTGCATCACTGGCCAGTGAATGCCAAAACATTTACATGCAAGCACCAACACAAAGAAACATCCAGTTGCATCCTCTTTTTCTCTGTCTCACATGCAAGGTGAATGTATGCATTAAGAACGATTACAATGGCTTCGACTTTCATTCTAAGCAAGTCGTTCATAATGACTGTTCTCAGGGAATACACGAAAACCGGCATTACAAATTATATACTTTTATGCAATGTTAAAATGTTGTTAGGTAAGACACATATGCAACAGTTAGGTATCTTTATCTCGAAATAAAGATACCTAACTGTTGCATGTGTGTCTTACCTAACAACCTGTCGGTATTTTATACCATTTTAATGCGCAATGTTAAAATGTTGATGTTTTGTTCTTGTTTATATGATTTGTATAACTGCAAAATGGTAAGAAACAAGCTCTATTTATTTTTTTTTTTTTTTTTTTTTCAACAAGTCGGCCGTCTCCCACCGAGGCAGGGTGACCCAAAAAAGAAAGAAAATCCCCAAAAAGAAAATACTTTCATCATCATTCAACACTTTCACCACACTCGCACATTATCACTGTTTTTGCAGAGGTGCTCAGAATACAACAGTCTAGAAGCATACACATATAAAGATACACAACATATCCCTCCAAACTGCCAATATCCCAAACCCCTCCTTTAAAGTGCAGGCATTGTACTTCCCATTTCCAGGACTCAAGTCCGACTATATGAAAATAACCGGTTTCCCTGAATCCCTTCACTAAATATTACCCTGCTCACACTCCAACAGATCGTCAGGTCCCAAGTACAATTCGTCTCCATTCACTCCTATCTAACACGCTCACTCACGCTTGCTGGAAGTCCAAGCCCCTTACCCACAAAACCTCCTTTACCCCCTCTCTCCAACCCTTTCGAGGACGACCCCTACCCCGCCTTCCTTCCCCTATAGATTTATATGCTTTCCATGTCATTCTACTTTGATCCATTCTCTCTAAATGACCAAACCACCTCAACAACCCCTCTTCTGCCCTCTGACTAATACTTTTATTAACTCCACACCTTCCCCAAATTTTTCCACACTCCGAATTTTCTGCATAATATTTCCCACCACACATTCCCCTTTTAAACAGGCATCTCCACTGCTCATCCAACCGTCTCCTCGCTGCTGCATTACCACCCAAGCTTCACACCCATATAAGAGTGTTGGTACTACTATACTTTCATACATTCCCTTCTTTGCCTCCATAGATAACGTTTTTTTGACTCCACATATACCTCAACGCAACCACTCACCTTTTTTCCCTCATCAATTCTATGTTAACCTCATCCTTCATAAATCCATCCGCCGACACGTCAACTCCCAAGTATCTGAAAACTTCACTTTTCCATACTCCTCCTCCCCAATTTGATATCCAATTTTTCTTTTTTCTAAATCATTTGACACCCTCATCACCTTACTCTTTTCTAATGTTCACTTTCAACTTTTTTACCTTTACACACATTCCCAAACTCATCCACTAACCTTTTCAATTTTTCTTTAGAATCTCCCATAAGCACAGTATCATCAGCAAAAAGTAACTGTGTCAATTCCCATTTTTGAATTTGATTCCCCATAATTTAATCCCCCACCCCTCTCCCAAACACCCTACATTTACTTCCTTAAAAAACCCAATCATAAAAATATTAAAAAAACCATGGTGACATTACACATCCCTGTCTAAGACCTACTTTTACCGGGAAATAGTCTCCCTCCTCTTCTACCACCCTAACCTGAGCCTCACTATCTTCATAAAAACTCTTTACAGCATTTAATAACTTTTCCACCTATTCCATATACTTGCAACATCTGCCACATTGCTCCTCTATCCACTCTATCATATGCCTTTTCTAAAAACCATAAATGCAATAAAAACTTCCCTACCTTTATCTAAATACTGTTCACATATATGCTTCAATGTAAACACTTGATCTAACATCCCCTACCCACTCTGAAACCTCCTTGCTCATCCGCATCCTACATTCTGTCTTACCTCTAATTCTTTCAATTATAACCCTACCGTACACTTTTCCTGTTATACTCAGTAAGCTTATTCCTCTATAATTTTTACAGTCCTCTTTTGTCCCCTTTCCCTTTATATAAAGGACTATACATGCTCTCCGCCAATCCCTAGGTACCTTCCCCTCTTTCATACATTTATTGAACAAAAGTACCAACCACTCCAACACTATAATCCCCCCCTGCTTTTAACATTTCTGTCATGATCCCATCAGTACCAGCTGCTTTAACCCCTTTCATTTTACGTAATGCCTCACGTACCTCCCCCACACTTACATTCTGCTCTTCTTCACTCCTAAAAGATGGTATACCTCCCTGACCAGTGCATGAAATTACTGCCTCTGTTTCTTCCTTTAACATTTAAAAGTTCCTCAAAATATTCTCGCCATCTACCTAATACCTCCATCTCCCCCATCTACTAACTCCCCTACTCTTTTTTTAACTGACAAATCCATATTTTCCCTTGGCTTTCTTAACTTGTTTAACTCACTCCAAAATTTTTTTCTTATTTTCATTAAAATTTCTTGACAGTGCCTCTCCCACTCTATCATCTGCTCTCCTTTTGCACTCTCTCACCACTCTCTTTACCTTTCTTTTACTCTCCATATATTCTGCTCTTCTTATAACACTTCTGCTTTGTAAAAACCTCTCATAAGCTACCTTTTTCTCTTTATCACACCCTTTACTTCATCATTCCACCAATCACTCCTCTTTCCTCCTGCACCCACCCTCCTATAACCACAAACTTCTGCCCCACATTCTAATACTGCATTTTTAAAACTATTCCAACCCTCTTCAACCCCCCCATTACTCATCTTTGCACTATCCCACCTTTCTGCCAATAGTCGCTTATATCTCGCCCGAACTTCCTCCTCCCTTAGTTTATACACTTTCACCTCCCTCTTACTTGTTGTTGCCACCTTCCTCTTTTCCCATCTACCTCTTACTCTAACTGTAGCTACAACTAAATAATGATCCGATATATCAGTTGCCCCTCTATAAACATGTACATCCTGGAGCCTACCCATCAACCTTTTTATCCACCAATACATAATCTAATAAACTACTTTCATTACGTGCTACATCATACCTTGTATATTTATTTATCCTCTTTTTCATAAAATATGTATTACTTATTACCAAATTTCTTTCTACACATAGCTCAATTAAAGGCTCCCCATTTACATTTACCCCTGGCACCCCAAATTTACCTACTACTCCCTCCATAACATTTTTACCCACTTTAGCATTGAAATCCCCAACCACCATTACTCTCACACTTGATTCAAAACTCCCCACGCATTCACTCAACATTTCCCAAAATCTCTCTCTCTCCTCTACACTTCTCTCTTCTCCAGGTGCATACACGCTTATTATAACCCACTTTTCACATCCAATCTTTATTTTACTCCACATAATCCTTGAATTAATACATAAATTAGAATAAATTACAATAAATTAGAAAAATACATATTTGGCACTTAACAGTTGGTTCTTTTTTTGAAATGGAGTATATGTACACCCTTATTAGACATCCCTATAAACTGCTGGACATTGTAATATCTGACTGCCAGCTGAACTTACTTTTAGAAATATGTTTATGTAGACCCATTTGGTTTACATTTAGATACTCTATTGACCCACAGTAAAGACATTTGGATTTTTTTTAGACTTGCACACTCCCACAAATATAAAAAAATGTTGCAGGTGGTAAGTGTGGTGCCCCTGGAGGATGGAAGGTCACCAAAGTCTGCTTGGGGAGATGGAATTGGCCGCATTAGTGCGCGACCTGGTAGTGCTCGGCCTGCAAGTGCCCGTCCTAGTAGTGCTCGACCTGGTAGTGCTCGACCCAATAGTGCTCGTCCTGGTAGTGGTCGCAGTGCTAGAAGCATCACCCCAGTGAATCATCCACCATCTCCTGATCGACCTGACGGTTAATGAATTTGTCATTAATGGCACAAATGAGCCCACAATGAAATAAAACAGATGAGAAGTACAGTACACACTGTACAGTATATTTCAGCTTAAGTACTCTAAAAAAGGGAGGGGGGAGAGCTTCATAAAGATTGTAAAGAGGGAGCACAAATATACAGTACTCATCTTTTTTTCTCTCTGTGGGATCATTTATGTCAGTGTTTGTTTTTCTGTTTGGATCATGGAATACTTTGTGTAAAAAGTTATAACAAAAAGTTAAAATACTGTGACTGGAACAATACACAATAACCTGCACATAGGAGAGAGGAGCTTACGATGACATTTATGTCCAACTTGGACCATTTACAAAGTCATACTAACAAAAAAAGAGAGGGAGTATATGTATAGTATAGGCCAGCAGTGGAGTCAGTCAAAGACTAAGAAAGAGGAGCACTGCAAGGGAGTTAGGGGCCCACAAAGGGTAGGAACAAGAACACACAGGGGGGGGGGGATAATAATAATGGATCAAACACCCAAAGAGAGAAAAAGAAAACCCAAAGGGGAAGAGGGAGAAGGGGAAGAAAGAATCAGGTTAAGTCATGGATGTTCTGAAGCTTGGAGCATTTTATAATGCAATGGGAAAGGAAGGCATCTACAGAGACAAAGCTAGGACTACGATTCATACAAGGAAAGTTGTGTATAAGGGAGGATTCAACCAGATTACAACTGTGAAAGTTAGAAGTAGGGTAGACAGTTTTAGCAGAAGACCAGTCAATAGGATGACTGTGATTTCTGCCATGACAGAAAAGAGAATTGTTGGTGTTTGCTCTATTTCTTGTTCCTCTTGTCCTCTTCAGTGCTTGGAGAAACTGGCCGTTCTTTTTGACAGACTCGGGGAGCACAAAAGTAGTGTTAGGCTTTCCGACACTAACAATGCTCTTTTCTGTCATGTCAAAGATCACAGTCATCCTATTGACTGCTCTTCTACTAAAACTGTCTACCCTACTTCTAACTTTCACAGTTGTAATCTGGTTGAATCCTCCCTTATACACAACTTTCCTTGTATGAATCTTAGTACTAACTTTGTCTCTGTAGATGCCTTCCTTTCCCATTACATTATAAAATGGTCCAAACTTCAGAACACTTGTGACTTAACCTGATTCTTTTTCTCCTTCTCCCTCTTCCCCTTTCCTCTTTCTCCTTTGGGTTTTCTTTCTTCTGCCTTCGGTATTTGGTCCATTATTATCATCATCATTTTTCCCCTCTGTGAGTTCTTGTTCCCACCCTTTGTGGGCCCCTAGCTCCCTTGCAGTGCTCCTCTTAGTCTTTGACTCCACTACCTCTCGTTTTTTCCTTTCCTACTACATACCTCTCTTGTCCCGTCCCTGTTTGCTGGCCTATATACTATATACTCTTTCCTTCTCTCCTTTTTGTTAGTGCGACTTTGTAAATGGTCCAAATTGGACAGAAATGTTATCATAAGCCCCTCTCTCCTATGTGTGGGCTATTTTTGTAATAAGGTACGATGGGGAAGGGCTGTCAAGCTCTTGTTACCCATCTGTCAGAATTTTTGAAGTCCCTAGTGTATGAAACATCTTTTCAATACAATCCCATAAATATTCATAGTTTTTTAGTAACATACTTGTCATATTGTTGCATATGCCAACATTATTGGAAGGAGACTTGCCCTTGGATCCTGACCCAGAAATCTACCCTCGTTTTTTCTCGAGTCAGTTTTTTCCCTGGCATTGAGCCACAATCAGTATGGTCCATTACTCTCTTGTGAATCTTTGTTTGGAGATATGCAAGATTATTATAATCAAAAAGAAGTGCTAAGCCACAAGCTGCAAGATCTAAGAAATACCTATCTTAACCTTTTTTTTTTTTTTTTGTCATTAACATTATCCTGGCTGTGCTATTTAGTTTGCCGGTAATCTTCTGTAGCACTTAAGCATTTATAAAAGGCAAAATGTCTCGTCTGTTATTTTCATGGCTCAAAATAAATTCAAACTATGAGGTGTTTGTATTCTGTATCAACCACATACTTAATCACTGATAACAGAATTATTCACAACCTGTCTCAATACTGTGACTGATCCATAACTAACTTGTGATATGTTCCAGGTGGGGCAGAAGAACCACTGGATCCGGAGACTGGGCTTCGCTCCACAGACCCGGCTGTACCACTCATCAGAGCCATCAAGGAGGAATTGCGACGCTTTAAATCTTCCATTAGTACAGAGTCCTCCACAGCCTGATGCATGTGAAAGAGGGACTCTGATAAAACCCTGTGCAGGAGAAAAAGTGTCAGGCTCAACTCGGTTGCAAGGTAGTTTCCGCCCACACATTCCTCAATCATATCAATGTAGTCTACCAAAATACTGTATATATTTTTGCGCCAAATATGTAAAGTTAATGCAAAAAATTCAAGTGTTCTAGTACAGTAATATAAAAATTGTGATATCAGGAAATGTTACCAGCCAAAGAAATGAAGCTTCTCCAAGATAAGCTGTGAATCTTTAGTTTTCACTATTTAGTTTGATGCAACACTATCCTTTAAATATGAAGAGATTAACTTCTTTGTAAGTTAATTTTTTGGCTGATATTTATTGCCCTTAAAATGTGTAATAGTGATTTTGTCTCGTACCACTGATTTTTTCAAGTTAAAGATGCATCTTTCAGTACTTGCAGGTGCTGAAGGAACCAATGCTTCTCCCAAAACACTTAACCATGTAGAATAAACATCATAATGTGACAGGAACATTTCATAAATTGGAGGCATATCTTTCAAACATGTTTCAGTCTAAATACAAATCAAAATATTTAAAGATCCATTTCCAATTTATGGGTTAGTTGTGTTTAGAAAAACACGTAAGCAAACACTAGGACATATATATTAGAAAACGTTTTGGTCCTGAGACCTTGACCACTTCTAGCATAGAGGTTAAAAGACAGTACATGTATATATAGGCGGAGAGTGAGATATGAGTGACGCAAGGCGACCTGAAGAACGTCATTGGGATGAGGATGGGTAGACGATGAGATCATGCGACTCCTGTGTTGCTCATCGTCTACCCATCCTCATCCCAAAATGACATTCTTCAGGTCACCATGCATCACTCACCTCACTCTCCGTCTATATGTACTGTCTTGTAACCTATGTTAAGTGATGAAGGTCTCAGGACCAAAATGTTTTCTAATAAATATGTTCTAGTGTTTGCTTACGTGTTTTTCTAAACCAACTTGTCTGTATTTATTACCAGGGTTTATACCATGGGTAAGTTGTGAATTTTAGCCAAGTGTTTTTATGTATAACATTAAAAAGTCTGAATAGTATAAGTGACAGTTTTCAAGCAAACAGTTGATTTCTTTTCTGCTTCAGCTCAATAACTCTTTTTATTTAATTAAATAGGTAATTGGTTATTATTTGCAAAGAAATGTTACACAGTGCAGACACTTGTGAAGCTAGAATACATAATTGAAAATTTTTCAAAGATTATTTTGACTAATGATAAAGGTGCCACGTCTGCACCATTGAAATTTACAGAAAAAGACTAAATATAGAAAACATACTAGCTGCAGTATTTGTGTTTATTTGCCAGTTGCCTCTTGAAGAAAGATATATAAATCTATATGAACCAAGTGCTTGAACTTGCCTTACTGTAGAGGAAGAGGCAGCTGTAAGTGTATTGTCCTCAGTGCTCTTCAGTGCATCACTGCCAAGTTATAGACATGAGGCTGGGAACGAACATATCGGGACCAAGCTAGAATGATGTTTGACAAAACAGTAGTTAGACTGTATCAGTAGAAATGAAACTATGGCATTTCAACTTCAGGAGTCAAAGTGCTGTTATAAACAGATAGTGAAGACTGTCAATTTTATTAAATAACCTTATATCTAATACAAAAATGAGACTTATTTTGTTTACATACAGCAGTGTTGATTTTGTTTTAAATATGTAATTTAAAATCTAGAAAAAATTACCTTTCATTACCTACATTAACATTTGGATATTCTTTACTAGTCTGCTACATTTAATAAATATATCATGAAATCTATTTAAATAGGCTATACATACTATTAATGTTAATTTGTAAACTTTACTTTTAAAGACTATTTAATATTAATATATGTACAAAATAATTATTGATGTATAATAAATTATTTTGTTAAAAGTTTTAGTAAGATTTTTGAGTTTGCTTTCATTTTTAATTACACCAGAATTTTGTGCCAAATATATTTCCTTTGTTCCTACCTTTAATAGATAGACTTCTGTCTTTTCTAGTAATAACAGAACCAAGAGAATATCAAGCAAAATAAAGAATTGGTTAATATAGCAAGGAACTGCTGGTTATATAACCACATTAATGAAATTCAATAATATTACAATGTATATGCAATACAGTGTGCAGTAATAAAAAAGTACAATACTGTAGTAATAATAATGGGTTTGAGCTGTATCTCAGTTGACAATATTGTAGATGCAATCATTGTACAAATTTATAACATGTTCAGCAGATGTAGGTGATTTTGTAGTCAAATCTTATTAAATAAAATTCAACAGAACTCAAAATACTACGTATTTACATTCACTTGCCTTAGGTATATTCTGTAATAATTATGAAGTCGGTCACTATTTCAACTCTTCGAATGATAGCATGAGTGTTAAGGCAAAGTTTACCTGTACATGTATATAATAAGCAATCAACCTGTGACAAATCGGTATTTATAAAAACAGTTCATTACTACTTGTTTAGCTAACAATATTGAGACCCAGTCCCTGGTCTCGTGTGCCTGTGTAATATTTTGAATACCAACCACTGCTTGGATATGGATACATAATAAAACTAGTAAGCCAATGTAGAAGACAGGTACCATAACATTTAGCATCTAAGTGCCACCTTTGAAGGAGATAGCAGTATACAAAGGTTAAGAACTACTGTTAGGTCAATTGGGACTGATGATCATTATGCTGCTGGTAGACCAGATTAACTTCAACATAAGTTACAACAGCCTAGTTGATGCCAGTCACCCAATGAATAGTTACTACTAAAAATTGATGAACTGTTCATTTATTTTTAATATGCTTCACCACATCAGAGACATTTATTTTATTTAATCACTGATTTTCTATACCTACGTATTATATTGACGAGGAAGTCCTAAACCAGCAGGGGGTCATCCAGTGCATTAGGAATGAGAATTAATCAGGTTTCATCCAAGGAAAGGGGAGGGAGCTTCAATTCCGTGGATTAAGAACCTGTACTCCACTTTATTATAGTGTTTGTTTTAGCACCAAGGCACTTCTCCCTCTTTTCGTATCCTTTAAGGTAAATTCAGCTACGTAAACCCACCTTTATACACTTCCATATAGGTATCTTTTCATTAGAATTACTTTTAAATATGCATAATCCTTTCTCCCCAAGTAAGTTAGTTTATTCAGGTATACACAAATACAGTTACATAGAATTGTCATACATAGCAGCATATGTGTAGAGAACCTAGGATAACCCAAAAAAGTCAGACAGTGACTTATTTCCATGCATTTGCTCTCCATCTTCTGCTTGGAACATTAGCATAAGCTGCTGAATGCATTTGTAACATGTAGTAACAACTAGTGAAGTGTTATATTCATCTTGAAACAGCGTCCTTGCATAGATCTTAATTATTATAATCATAAGGCACTAAATGCACAAGGGTCACACAGTGCTATCATAAGTCTTAAAAGTGGTAATACAAAGAGAAGGCCCCAAATAAAAACAGTAATAATAATGAGGCTTCAAAACAGTCTCCTAGTCTCCCATTTCAACCCAACAGCCACCCCAAAGTCCGACCCCTTCCAGTCCAGAAATTCTGATGATGCCCCTGGGTCTTGAGCCATACGATGATCTGTTTAGTGGCTCCTTGAAGTTGTCTTTGGTGTTAAAGTGATGCAAAATATTTTTTATTTCTTTATACAGTACAAATGTAGTTTGCATGTAATAAGACATTACATTACCTGGAGTATACCTGGAGAGAGTTCCGGGGGTCAACACCCCCACAGCCCGGTCTGTGACCAGACCAGGTCATTGGTAGACATGAAAGAAAACCACTAATTATGCAATGCATTTCAGGAAAACTAACCATAAGGCTTAAATGTTACTTAAGATCTAGACATTATTAAGTAGGACTTATGTAATTAACTACAATCATAAGTACAATAAAAAAGGTACCTAATGAACAAATGGTTTTGTTAATGACGTTGTGGTTGAAGCTTGGTGATTCTGCCCCTACAGTAACTGGAGCCTTATAATTCTAGCCCTGTACTTGGGGTGCAATGATTCTGCTCCTATGGTCAAGGCCTGGTGATTCTAACCTTTGGCTGAGGTGCAGTGATCCTGGCCCTATGGCTAGGGCTTAGTGATTTCTGCCCTATTGTTGTGGCATGCTGATTCTGCCTCTATGGTAAGGGCATGCTGATTCTGTCCTTATGTTTGGGTCATGCTGATTCTGTCCCTTTTGCTGGGGTGCAGATGATTGTTGCCTGAGAATCAATATGTCTTTGGAGTGCAGAAGACTGCATTTGATGGTGTCTCTTGTCTTGGTATACAGAAATGATATAGTGAATTACTGGCAACAATGAATTGTTTCTTACTTCCAGAATACAGTAAGAGTGAGAGACTTCCCATCACTCCAACAAAACAACTATTCCAGTGGGACTACCTGACCCGAGCCTGAAGATAACGGTCAAAAGTGAAAATTATCCAAAGAGAATGTGAAAACGTAAAGCATTATTACAATCAAAACCAAGCGCTAAACCCACAAGTCATACAGCTCTCCACAAATTATTTGTGGCTGCATATTCATGCTGAATTTTATAACTAACTAGTAAATGTGCATTAGTGGTGTCTGTACACATGTCTCATCTGATCTATCTAGTGTATGTATACATTTATGGTGTATAATATAGTAATATTCTAGGAAGTGCATATATTTTGTGCTTTTTAAGACAAACAAGTCAATCTGCCTTAAGAAAAGATCTTTTCAAAAAATTATCCTATACAATGATATAAATTTTATTTAATGTACATGGTACAAAAAATGTCAAGTTTTGAGCTAAAGAAAAAATTTAAATCTTGCCCAACTTTGCTAAAATTCACCAATATAATTTAACTTAATACTACCAAGCCTCTCTTATTTCAGCCTAAATTTAATCAACACCAGTCAAATATGGTATATTCAGACTGATTTTTTGCCGATTATTATAGTAAAAAAGAAACGCTAAACCTATAAGGGTCATACAGTGCAGGATTTTTTGCTGAGTTATTGTAACACTGAATTTGTTTGCATTATAAGCTAGTATTGTATCTTGCACTTAAAATGCATGACAAATACATGTCACATCTGATATAATTAGTTAATTTGTACATATGTAATGTCAGATACTTTTAAAGGTGTTTTTGTACACTTTTAAAAATCTGAAAATTGGATTTTGAAATGAAGGAAGTAGATGGCAAGGTAGACTAGAAAAAAATAAACTGTTTATTACTTTGATTTAATAAAATGTTTACAGTACTTATCTGCATTTTTAATTCCTAAATAACATATTCATACTCCTGCCTGGTAATATCTTCAACAACTAACCATTCAGAATAACTGACCTTTTAAAAAGGGTGATGATAATCATGAAGGCCTCTTGATCTGAGTAACTGGAACCACCCTCCCCTTCCTCAGGTGAAGCCAGATTACCTCCCATTTCCCAGGCACTGTTTGACCCCTACAGGTTTAGTGCTTCCACATGAAATATATACTGACAGTTTTCCTGGGGGATTCTGAAGACAAGTTACAAAATCTGTTGAACGAATTTAGGAAGGTGTGTAAAGGGAAATTAAAAGTGAACATAGAAAAGAGCAAGATGATGAAGGTAACAGTAAAAGTCTATGTAATGACAATGAATATCAGACTGGAGGAAGTGGATATATTTAGATATTTGGGAGAGGACACATCAGCAGATAGGTCAATGAAAGACAAGGTGAGCCATAAAATAGATGAGAAAAAAAGGTGGGTGGTGTGTTAATATATTTATGGAAAGAAGTTTATCTATTGTGCAAAAAAACTGGGAAATGTACTATACATAGATTATAGTGGTACCAACACTTATAGGAGTTTGTGGATTCACGGCTTGGTTTTGATTGTAATAATATGAGTATGAAGCATGGGTTTTAAATGCTACAGCAAGGAGGCTAAAGACATGATGTCATATTTAAGGAACACTGTGGGGTGTGAATATTATGCAGAGAATTCGGAGCACTAATTAAAAGGTAAGAATTCGGAGCACTAATTAAAAGGTAATATGGGGTCACCAATTGTATAATTCAGAGGGTCGAGGTGGTTTGGATATGTAGAGGGAGAGGAACAGGACGATAAAAGAGGATGTAGTATACATCTGGGGGTGAAAGGAGGGGTAGGGGTCATCCCTGTAATGGCTGGAGGAAGGACAGAGGTGGTTTTGATTTTAGGGTTTTAAGCATTCAGCAGCCTTGTGCGAGCGTGTTAGACAGGAGTGAATGGTGGCATTTTTAATGGATGTGTTTTTGGAGTGTGAGTAAGGTGATTAATGGAAATAGGTTGGCCAGACTTGAGTTCTGGAGGTAGAAAAGTAGGTGCCTGCACTCTGTAGAAGGGTGGGGATGTTGCACAGAGCAATCTAACTGTAATATCAGCACACTTCTGGCATAACAGCGATTGATTGAATGATGGTAAATGTATTTTCCTATTTGGGTAGCCATGAGGGGTTTGGGATATTGGCAGTTTGGAGGGATATGTTGTGTATCCTTATATGTATATGCTTCTAAACTGTTGTATTCTGAGCACCTCTGCAAAAACAGTGATTATGTGTGAGTGAGGTGAAAGTGTTGAATGATGATGAAAGTATTTTCTTTTTGGGGATTATATATATATATATATATATTTTTTTTTTTTTTTCAACAAGTCGGTCGTCTCCCACTGAGGCAGGGTGACCCAAAAAAGAAAGAAAATCCCCAAAAAGAAAATACTTTCATCATCATTCAACACTTTCACCACACTCACACATTATCACTGCTTTTGCAGAGGTGCCCAGAATACAACAGTTTAGAACCATATACGTATAAAGATACACAACATATCCCTCCAAACTGCCAATATCCCAAACCACTCCTTTAAAGTGCAGGCATTGTACTTCCCATTTCCAGGACTCAAGTCCGACTATATGAAAATAACCGGTTTCCCTGAATCCCTTCACTAAATATTACCCTGCTCACACTCCAACAGATCGTCAGGTCCCAAGTATCATTCGTCTCCATTCACTCCTATCTAACACGCTCATGCACGCTTGCTGGAAGTCCAAGCCCCTTGCCCACAAAACCTCCTTTACCCCCTCTTTCCAACCCTTTCGAGGACGACCCTACCCCTCTTTCCTTCCCCTATAGATTTATATGCTTTCCATGTCATTCTACTTTGATCCATTCTCTCTAAATGACCAAACCACCTCAACAACCCCTCTTCTGCCCTCTGACTAATGCTTTTATTAACTCCACACCTTCTCCTAATTTCCACACTCCGAATTTTCTGCATAATATTTACACCACACATTGCCCTTAGACAGGACATCTCCACTGCCTCCAACCGTCTCCTCGCTGCTGCATTTACCACCCAAGCTTCACATCCATATAAGAGTGTTGGTACTACTATACTTTCATACATTCCCTTCTTTGCCTCCATAGATAACGTTTTTTGACTCCATATATACCTCAATGCACCACTCACCTTTTTTCCCTCATCAATTCTATGATTAACCTCATCCTTCCTAAATCCATCCGCCGACACGTCAACTCCCAAGTATCTGAAAACATTCACTTCTTCCATACTCCTCCTCCCCAATTTGATATCCAATTTTTCTTTATCTAAATCATTTGATACCCTCATCACCTTACTCTTTTCTATGTTCACTTTCAACTTTCTACCTTTACACACATTCTCAAACTCATCCACTAACCTTTGCAATTTTTCTTTAGAATCTCCCATAAGCACAGTATCATCAGCAAAAAGTAATTGTCAATTCCCATTTTGAATTTCATTCCCCATAATTTAATCCCACCCCTCTCCCGAACACCCTAGCATTTACTTCTTTTACAACCCCATCTATAAATATATTAAACAACCATGGTGACATTACACATCCCTGTCTAAGACCTACTTTTACCGGGAAGTAGTCTCCCTCTCTTCTACACACCCTAACCTGAGCCTCACTATCCTAATAAAAACTCTTAACAGCATTTAGTAACTTACCACCTATTCCATATACTTGCAACATCTGCCACATTGCTCCTCTATCCACTCTATCATATGCCTTTTCTAAATCCATAAATGCAATAAAAACTTCCCTACCTTTATCTAAATACTGTTCACATATATGCTTCAATGTAAACACTTGATCTACACATCCCCTACCCACTCTGAAGCCTCCTTGCTCATCCGCAATTCTACATTCTGTCTTACCTCTAATTCTTTCAATTATAACCCTACCGTATACTTTTCCTGGTATACTCAGTAAACTTATTCCTCTATAATTTTTACAATCTCTTTTGTCCCCTTTCCCTTTATATAAAGGGACTATACATGCTCTCCGCCAATCCCTAGGTACCTTCCCCTCTTTCATACATTTATTAAACAAAAGTACCAACCACTCCAACACTATATCCCCCCCTGCTTTTAACATTTCTGTCATGATCCCATCAGTTCCAGCTGCTTTACCCCCTTTCATTCTATGTAATGCCTCACGTACCTCCACCACACTTACATTCTGCTCTTCTTCACTCCTAAAAGATGGTATACCTCCCTGGCCAGTGCATGAAATTACCGCCTCCCTTTCTTCCTCAACATTTAAAAGTTCCTCAAAATATTCTCGCCATCTACCTAATACCTCCCTCTCCCCATCTACTAACTCCCCTACTCTGTTTTTAACGGACAAATCCATACTTTCCCTAGGCTTTCTTAACTTGTTTAACTCACTCCAAAATTTTTTCTTATTTTCATTAAAATTTCTTGACAGTGCCTCTCCCACTCTTTCATCTGCTCTCCTTTTCCACTCTCTCACCACTCTCTCACCTTTCTTTTACTCTCCATATACTCTGCTCTTCTTATAACACTTCTGCTTTGTAAAAACCTCTCGTAAGCTACCTTTTTCTCTTTTATCACACCCTTTACTTCATCATTCCATCAATCACTCCTCTTTCCTCCTGCCCCCACCCTCCTATAACCACAAACTTCTGCCCCACATTCTAATACTGCATTTTTAAAACTATTCCAACCCTCTTCAACCCCCCCCCCCCACTACTCATCTTTGCACTAGCCCACCTTTCTGCAATAGTCGCTTATATCTCGCCCGAACTTCCTCCTCCCTTAGTTTATACACTTTCACCTCCCTCTTGTTGTTGCCACCTTCCTCTTTCCCATCTACCTCTTACTCTAACTGTAGCTACAACTAAATAATGATCTGATATATCAGTTGCCCCTCTATAAACATGTACATCCTGGAGCCTACCCATCAACCTTTTATCCACCAATACATAATCTAACAAACTACTTTCATTACGTGCTACATCATACCTTGTATATTTATTTATCCTCTTTTTCATAAAATATGTATTACTTATTACCAAATTTCTTTCTACACATAGCTCAATTAAAGGTTCCCCATTTACATTTACCCCTGGCACCCCAAATTTACCTACTACTCCCTCCATAACATTTTTACCCACTTCAGCATTGAAATCCCAACCACCATTACTCTCACACTTGATTCAAAACTCCCCACGCATTCACTCAACATTTCCCAGAATCTCTCTCTCTCTCCTCTACACTTCTCTCTTCTCCAGGTGCATACACGCTTACTATAACCCACTTTTCACATCCAATCTTTATTTTACTCCACATAATCCTTGAATTTATGCATTTGTAGTCCCCCTTTTCCTACCATAGCTTATCCTTCAACATTATTGCTACTCCTTCTTTAGCTCTAACTCTATTTGAAACCCCTGACCTAATCCCATTTATTCCTCTCCATTGAAACTCTCCCACCCCCTTCAGCTTTGTTTCACTTAAAGCCAGGATATCCAGTTTCTTCTCATTCATAACATCCACAATCATCTCTTTCTTATCATTTGCACAACATCCACGCACATTCAGACTTCCAACTTTGACAATTTTCTTCTTATTCTTTTTAGTAATCTTTACAGGAAAAGGGGTTACTAGCCCATTGTTCCCGGCATTTTAGTTGACTTTTACAACACGCATGGCTTACGGAGGAAAGATTCTTATTCTACTTCCCCATGGATATAAAAGGAAAAGTAATAAGATCAAGAACTATTAAGATAAAATAAAAAGAAAACTCAGATGAGGTGTATAAATAAACGTGTACATGTATGTGTAGTGTGACCTAAGTGTAAGTAGAAGTAGCAAGACGTACCTGTAATCTTGCATATTTATGAGACAGACAAAAGACACCAGCAATCCTCCCATCATGTAAAACAATTACAGCTTTCATTTTACACTCACTTGGCAGACGGTAGTACCTCCCTGGGTGGTTGCTGTCTACCAACCTACTACCTACAAATATAATATATATTATATATATATATAATATTTATATATATATATATATATAATATAATATATATATATAATATACATGTATATATAATTTTTCAACACTCCAGCCGTCTCCCACCGTGGCAGGTATATTTTATTACATAATAAGGTACACAAGACTTAAAGATACATTGCTGGTGCAAAGGTGGCCTGGTGGCTAAAGCTCCCGCTTCACACGTCCCCTCAAGGAAGGTTCCTTGATGTTGGTGAGGGGCTCTTGATTTAGGGAATTGGATCTGTGCTCCAGTTCCCCGAATTAAGCCTGAATGCCTTCCACATCCCCCCCCCCCAGGCGCTGTATAATCCTCCGGGTTTAGCGCTTCCCCCTTGATTATAATAATAATAATCCCGCTTCACACACGGAGGGCCCGGGTTCGATTCCCGGCGGGTGGAAACATTTCGACACGTTTCCTTACACCTGTTGTCCTGTTCATCTAGCAGCAAATAGGTACCTGGGTGTTAGTCGACTGGTGTGGGTCGCATCCTGGGGACAAGATTAAGGACCCCAATGGAAATAAGTTAAGACAGTCCTCGATGACGCACTGACTTTCTTGGGTTATCCTGGGTGGCTAACCCTCCGGGGTTAAAAATCCGAACGAAATCTTATCTTGATGGCATATACAGTACAAGAGGTTTGAGGGATACATTTCAAGTACATATTGCTACGTGTTTATCACTGATTATGTACAATGCGAAAATCTTATGCATCTCCTCAGAGCTGGAATACAGCTGGCATTACCCCTCTGAACCGCATCGGTGAGTCGCTGGAATAGTTACCCTGAAGAGTCTTTTGCCTAGCTCCTTAAGGAACTTTGATGCACTCTTTCCCTATGGGCCAAGGGTCTTTGAGCCTATGGGAACAAACTTAATGATGGGAAAGTTCACTGTATTTTCTACTTTTATATATATATTTAACACATCAGCCGTTTCCCACCGAGGCAGGGTGACCCGAAAAAGAAAAAAAAAAAAACATTTTCATCATCAGTTTTGCCAGTGGGGTGCCGATACTAGTTCAAAAACTGCAACATATCTCCGCCCCTTCTTCAGAGTGCAGGCAACTCTACTTCCCATCTCCATGACTTACCTGTGAGCTCTTCAATAGTTCTCACCATATCTAGCCGTGGCTCTTTTTCTATTTCTGTAGCCTTTCCTCTCCCCTCACCTATTCATCATCTATTCTCATCCCCCCCATCCCACCCCTTGTGGTTCCTCACCTGTGAGTTCTAGTTGTCACCATGAACGATAGTTCACAACTAATACATTAATACTCTTGTTTTTCTCCCATAACTCTATAGCTCTTAACATTATACCTTTAAAATACTGTTGCTATAATATAATTATTAGAAATTATTCATATTCCGTTTACAGGTAAACTTATTTCTATTGAAATGGAAAGTTAACAGGCGAGAGCGCTGCCAACCTAGTCACTGTTACATAGCACTCGGGAATTACCATCTTTCAGTAAAGCCTTCACCCTAGCCCATACATAGGGGAAATGGACTTATGAATATATATATCTACATCATGAAGATATACATCTACATCATGCCACTAGCACGATAAGAGATAACACAATAAGTGTTAGGGGCCCAAGAATGTTCAACTGCCTCCCAACATACGTAAGGGGGATTACCAACAGACCCCTGGCTGTCTTCAAAAAGTCACTGGACAGGTACCTAGTCAGTACATGACCAGCCGGGCTGTGGTTTGTACGTTGGATTACGTGCGGCCAGCAGTAACAGCCTGGTTGATCAGGCCCTGATCCACCATAAGGCCTGGTCACAGACCGGGCTGCGGGGGCGTTGACCCCCGGAACTCTCTCCAGGTATACATATCTACATCATAGGAAAAACAAAGGAAAGAAAAGGGGGACAGGAATTTGGGTGACATAATATATTTGCAGCAAAGAACTACAGACCAATAGCACTAACATCCCGTATCATAAAAATCTTTGAAAGGGTCCTAAGAAGCAAGATCACCACCCATCTAGAAACCCATCAGTTACACAACCCAGGGCAACATGGGTTTAGAACAGGTCGCTCCTGTCTGTCTCAACTATTGGATCACTACGACAAGGTCCTAAATGCACTAGAAGACAAAAAGAATGCAGATGTAATATATACAGACTTTGCAAAAGCCTTCGACAAGTGTGACCATGGCGTAATAGCGCACAAAATGCGTGCTAAAGGAATAACAGGAAAAGTCGGTCGATGGATCTATAATTTCCTCACTAACAGAACACAGAGAGTAGTCGGCAACAGAGTAAAGTCCGAGGCAGCTACGGTGAAAAGCTCTGTTCCACAAGGCACAGTACTCGCTCCCATCTTGTTTTCCCCATCCTCATATCCGACATAGACAAGGATGTCAGCCACAGCACCGGTGTCTTTCCCTTTTCAGATGACAAACCCCAATCTGCATGACAGTGTCTTCCATTGCAGACACTGCAAGGCTCCAGGCGGACATCAACCAAATCTTTCAGTGGGCTGCAGAAAACAATATGAAGGGTTTAAAAGATGAGAAATTTTAATTACTCAGATATGGTAAACATGAGGAAATTAAATCTTCATCAGAGTACAAAACAAATTCTGGCCACAAAAATAGAGCGAAACACCAACGTCCCAAAAACCTGGAGTGATCATGTCGGAGGATCTCACCTTTAAGGGCCATAACATTGTATCAATCGCATCTTTCTAGAAAAATGACAGGATGGATAATGAGAACCTTCAAAACTAGGGAGGCCAAGCCCATGATGACACTCTTCAGGCACTTGTCTATCTAGGGTGGAATATTGCGCACACAAACACCTTTTAAGGGAGTTGAAATTGCCGACCAGAAAAGTACAGAGAACTTTCCACGGCGCGCATAACGGGGATAAAACACCTCAAATTTCTGGACGTTGAGGGTTTCCCAAACCTGATTCCCCCGGGAAACC